TTTTCTTATTTCCAGACACATTTTCTTGTTGTTTAGATAAAGTTATGCCATAATTTGAGAAAACATTTCTCAAAAATGTTTAGGCAATACGTAAATAATACTTGAAATGTATATTTTTTACTAGAATCAAGTCATTTGGGGCTTGAATTATTTTCTTATTTTCAGAAATCTCATCAAGATGGTTCAACGATAGTTCTGTTGACCTTTAACGTTGACAAATCAGACAACCTTTTAGAAAACATCGCTATTGCTTGCAGACTTGTAAGAAATATCCCTGTGAGTCACTGTTTGAGCTGAGAGCTGATTGGGTGAAAACTAGTCATAGAAACTGATATGTACTGTAGTTAAATTTTTTATGGTTTGAAAGCCAGGAACCCCAGCCTTTACATACCTTTTGATAAATAATTAATTGGTTGGTACCCATTTACTCAAAAGTTAGCTGTGATATGTGAATAGAAATGTCATTTTTCAGTTAGTAGTGAGAATCTGTAAAGTAACATAAGGGATGGCTCGATACAATCCACCCAAACAAAGGGAGAGACACGCCTGGGAGGCCTCGGGGTCTGCAGACTTTTTAGGATCTATTTTGGATTGCCATTTATTATTTACAGACGACTCTTTGATATCTTCCTTGCAATCTAACAAAGACACTCCTTGTATCCCAACCAGTGTGGGCAGGTCCCGGCTCAAAAAGGTCCATGAGCATGTTTGCAATCTCACTCCTTGCCGGGGGGGTGTACCCGGTAACAGAATAACCCAATGCTTTTGTATGGCATCTTCTTTCCTCTCACAAAACGGGTTTACAGGATGGTCCAAAAGTCGCTCTTGGCCCAATGCTATGTTCCAGATTTTTTTTTTTTTTACCAGCCTAGTTTAAGAATTAGTTTAGTTTAGGCTAACGCATGCACAAATGTTGAAATCTAGTTCTGTTTAGCTGTGCATACAACTGACATGTTTCATCTTTCTTTTTAATGTATTGTGATTATTTATGCCTCGCCATTTTGAAAAAGCCCACAGAAGGCAAAAGTGGCGACACACTAGTTTCGATGGCGGAGATAGGCGCGACTACATCCGTTCATATTTACGGTCTATGATCCCAACCCTACAACCTCCGATTCAAACCACCCCTCTGTCTTTGAAGTAACACGCCACAGAGAGAGAGTGAATTTCGCGAGGTGCAGACTTGTCCCTTATTGTCACATGTCAAATGACTGGAAGCAGATGACACATATAGAGCCAGCTCATCCAGCGGGGGCGCGGGGGTAATCCTTGTGATGTTCAACAGAGGTGGGGGGTCGCAGTTGTCTCACAGCTAGTAATCTGCAGAGCACACGATAAAAGACATGCCCCCATTGAGAGCCCTGCAGCCAAACCAGGCCTGTACCGTCCAATGAATTTACAGCTCTATGTAATAATGTGCGGTATAGATCCCACTGCCCAAACCCTGTTCACCTGGTCGCTTTTGTTCAGATAGAATTACTTGAATATCCTCAGGCATTTCCATTGATTCGTATTTCCATTTGAGGTTTTTGTTGTGGCTCATTAGACAGGACAGATTTGACACTGCCCGGTTTATCGCTTGAAGGAGAGAAAATAAACAGTGCTATACAAAGAACTTGGAAAAATGACTACAATTAGGAAGAATATTGACCACATAATAGCTGATCATATTGTTTTTGTTGTTGTGCTGAATATTTCTCACGAAGCATACACAGTTTCTTGGCACAATTCAGCTGTCATAGCCTGAACAATAATGAAAATCTAAACTTTATGTCTTTAGCATCATTTGAATAGAATGTTGATGCTAGTAATGATTGGTTATTCCAACCATTGCCTGGTTAGTAAGTATTTTCCAAGCCTTTGGGCAGGGAGGAATTGGGAATACTAATTAGTTTGGTAACACAAAGTTCAAACCCACTTCTTCTTAGTTAAAGTAGCAATATGTAAGATTTCCATGTCTCGTCATCTATGAACTTTATCTGTCAAAAGGCATTAATAAACCATGCTCTTCTCAAATACTTATTTAACTGATAACAGTAAAAGTTTTACAGCCCCTAAATCTTGTTATTGTTATTATGTTGATGTCCTGCCCTCCACCGTTTCACCAATCAGAAAGTCTATGATCCGGGCGCCAGAACTCACCGCGTCGAGCTAATCTCACTGGTAAAGTAACATGTAGCTGCAGAACTAAAAAAGGTCTCGTTATGATTCTCAAATAATTCATGACAAAACAAGGAGTAAAAGTAGGATTTCTATCAGGGCCACTGTGAAAAAAGTGTTGGTTATAGATTTATTGTTTACAAAACTCTTGTCTATTCAGATATTATGGTCCCAGCTGGATTCCTGCATATCTGGCAACCTGAGTCAGGGAGAGTGGTAGAGGTTGCAGTACCACATTTGGCCAGATTTTTACATACTGCTCCTTTATAGGATTTTGGCACTAACCAGTCTTCCACATGGACCACAACCCTCTTTCTCCCCATTCTGAATTGAGTGTTAAATCCAAACATCCAAAATAATTCCCCAGATGTTAATTGAACATGTCTCCAGATTTGATCCATTTGGAAACAGGGATTATCTTCCTTGTCAAACGAGATACGATCACTGTCGCAAATAAATGAAATAGCTTAATGTTTGGACGAGTAAAAAAAAAAGTTCTGTTACTGCCTAAAGATGCCATTGAAAGGGGAGGTTTGTGGTCACATGACATAGAAATGAGCTCAGCTTCTAATTGGTCAAGTCTCTGATCTTTGAGTGGTGCACTAAGAGGAATGTGGTTTGAAGTAGAGAGATCTGTTGTACATGCACAGAAATTATTTAAACGCTCCAATTGGCTCAGTGAGTTAGTTTGTTTGATGAAGCGAGATCGGAAAGAAATATGTCTGGCATATTCAGTTTGTCTAGTTAGCAAAGACCCCTCTGAATTCCTGGCTTCTGTCAATTCTTGTGCTGTACATCAACATCACAAGTTTCAGTACGCACCTAATTGGCTACATAATCGAGGCAAAATAGAAGAGTTTAGAACATAATCCAAAAAGGTAGATGAAATAGAATGCAATGTTTCGGGAATTTTGCAACTATTGGCGTGGATGGAGGTAATTGACACTTAAATATGCCTGTGATTTGTGCTACTTGCAAAGTTACAAACCCTTCAATCTGAAACACTTGTTTTTGTTTTATTTAAAATTTATGGTAGTGGCACATAACAAGATTATCTACTCTGTCGTTGTAGCCTGGTCCTACCACACCATCAAACTAATTTAATTTCGTACTAAGGTCTGGATTTGCTACATTGAGCTCCATTGAGAACAGGTGGGAGTTAAGGTTAACCCCTTTTGTAGATTGAAACGATTGAATCTGAGTTTACTGTGACGTATGTAATGTGGCTGAGTGAGTGAGGCATTTAGCCTAGCTTTAGCATTTAGCTTTAGCCATCTCCTTTGTCACTAACGGAGCTCGTGGGGAGTAGAGCCACAACATCTTTGCAGCATTGACAGTTGCTAAACATTCTTCTTGCTACAGCTTCAATTTCTTGATATTTGGAGCCGAACCAGAAAGGATTACTTTACTATAGCATTCTTCACCAAACTACAACCAGCAAATTCGGTTCAAACTCTTGACGTCACGACACCTCCCAACAACACCCGCCTCCCCCGCTCGCTGATTGGTTGGAGGGGATAAAAACGAGGAAGCTGCAGCCACTAGGATCAGAGCCAGCCGTACAAGTAAGAAATCATAATTAATAATGATACGAGTGTATGGATGGCTAGGGCCAGGTTAGTGTTGTTGTGGAATACAAGGAAGTCAGGTCTTTTAAAAAACACAAATACGTTACCGCAACTAATAAGATGTTTTCTACATTTGGCAATTTTGCAGAAACCTCATTAAATAGAATAAAACTGTGTAACTTTGCTGCTGCTCACATTCAATGGATTATTTTTGATGACACATCAATGTCTATGGAGACAACAACATTACGGCAACATGTCAGAACTGTGGAGAAGCAAGCTGCCGGCGTAAGGCATAACACATCATCTTATTTTTTTGCAATTAAAACATCATTTATACAGTGATTGCCAGTGTGGAACATTCCAGGCAAAGACTGAAACTCTACCAGAAAAGTTTCAAAATACACCTTTAAAATTGACCTCCCTCTGTAATAAAATGTGTTGGAATCAGTGTACGCTGCAAAAAAGGATAAAATATGAGGTAATAATTGTTTGAATCGAGTGGTTTTTAATCTTTTTTTGGGCACATTCTATCTTAAAACTAGATTTGCCAATGGGACAAATCCATTTAGTCTTATTTCAAGAACTGTTGCTTTATTTTCTCATTCCAAGGGAGACATTTCCTGTATATTTTCAAAACAAGATCATTGTTCTTGTCCCATTGGCAAATTTTGTTTTAAGGTGGTTAGAATGTGCTCAAATGAAGATATTTTTATGCCACATTTGCGCACATTTTTACTTATTTTTCATCACTTTTTGCAGCATATAAATAACATTAGTTATTCTCCAACTTCGTTCAGCAATAAGATGGAGATGATCAGAGTCACGGGGGAGGTGGAAAACACAAATACTGGAGAAGAAAACCTCTCATTATGTATTTACATGCTCTTCAACGTGAAGAAAGTGTCCGTGTTGGGCTTCTTTTCGGAAAATCCTCTCTATCCTCGTCATTTTCCCCAACACAACATGGGAGTTTCCACAAGATGTGCTTAAGATCAGTCCTGCAGGGTGTGTCCTTTTTTATACAGTGATTTTATAAAAGCTGTTTTGTGTCTTGTAAACTGTACTGCGGAGGGGTCCAGAGTATGTTGCCATTTCATCTCACAGGGTCGGAGCAGCATCCTTGATTTCAAAGTCATTTAAAAACCAAACCGACGGATATAAAATGCAATAGTAGAACAGATGAATGGCTTAGATGATGTATTAGACTAGAAGATTTGAATTGTGTAGAGTAGTGTTCATAGTTTCTCAAAGCGCGTCTCTCCGGTGGGTTCAGACGGACTCAGTGGGAGACTGGTCACTCTGGTGCGGCTGCATGGACTGAACACTGGTCAGGATCTTCTTCTGGTGTCCTGCCAGCAACACGCCGATCCGCTGCAGATCCCTAAAGAAGAAGAAGGTCTTTTAGTAGTAAGTAAGTAATCTTTATTTATATACCGCCTTTTCACTGCAGATCTGAGTCTCAAAGCGGTTTACAATTGTTTATTTTGGGCATTTGTCTCTCACTCCACACAGAGATGGGAGTGGGGTCACCAGTACAGGAGGCGCATGCCAGAACTATTGGACATGTTTTTAGTGGTAGGGGAAACCGGAGCACCCGGAGGAAACCTACGCAGACACGGGGAGAACATGCAAACTCCACTCAGAAAGGCCCTGGTCCGACCGGGATTCGAACCCAGGACCTTCTTGCTGAGAGGCCAGAGTGCTATCCACTCTGCCACCGTGCCGCCCACTTTAGTAGTCCCACAGTGGGAAATTTCAGTTTTTTTACTATTATTATTATTTTTTATGTAATAATTTGTTTGAATTTAGGACCGTAAATATTAATCAATGTGTCTGCAAACAGCATCAACACAAATAAGTCTGGAATTAGCACAATAGCTAAATTGCATCCATTGTCCTAAGGCAGGTAAGAAACACACAAACACACAGTTAGGTAAAAGTGCAAACAATAAGTCGACAAGCACAACATAAAGAATCTAAAATAATAATAATACACAGATACACATCAAGGCATGCAGCGGACGTTACTTATCCGGCCCTTATAGGCAAAGTGGGTTAAGTGTCTTGCCCAAGGACACAACAACAGCAGACATCAGTGGAGTTGGTGGAGCTAGACCAGGCATGTCAAAGTCAAATACATTAGAGGGCCAAAAAAAATGTTTGCTACGCGCCGAGGGCCGGACTGGTTCAATGTTTCTCAACATCCAGTCCAGAGGCAGTGCCGGTGACACCTGTTGGCTTGATAAAATATGCTCTAAAGCCAATCCTCATACTGTACATATTAGATGTAATAGACATCTGAGAACATGAAAATAGTAAAAAAAAAAAAAGCTCAAACTTGGTGAAATGTAAAAGAGCAGTCTGGACCTCTTTTCGGGGCGTTTTTTGATTAAATCTGCAGAATGGATTATACTTTGGGAAATACAAGTGGATATTCTTCTTCAATAAACAGTTACGGAGAGAAAGAGACTAAGCAAGGATGGGGAAAGTCTAATTTGTTGGAGCAGCAGAAGACGAAAGGTAAAAAACAAATTTTAGACGTGATTTATTTTGTCCCCTTATTATGCGTTATATCTTTTTAATGCAAAGTCTGATATTGTTTACACTTACATATAAATATAGCTGAGAAAATAAGCTTTAAAATGATATATAGCTTGTGGCTTACGAAGTTCAAAATACATCTGCTATTGCCAACAGATTGCTGGCCCCCGCTTAAGGGGTCAATACATTGCCTAAATGGCAGGCAATGTCCCGGGGGCCATAGATAATTCATTCGCGGGCCGGATTTGGCCCGCGGGCCTTGACTTTGACACATGTGAGCTAGACCATACAGCCTTCATGCTTAAAGGCCAATACTCTACCAACTGAGCCACGGACATCAACATAAATATTTAAAGTTTATATTGAGGATTTCATAAAATATTCAGTTTGTGTTGTTTCAAAATTGAATCCAGGACTAAGAAAACACTAGAATAAGAACAAACTCAAGAGCTCTGTTTTGGTATCCAGTTTCTGCCATCCGAAAATGAACAAAAAGAGCTTTGATGCTTTGGTGTTTGATGGTATGTGTAATGAATCATGATGCTGAATACTGAAAGCTTGTAAATGTACGTTTGCTAATGCACGCTCATTAAAACCACTTTTATTCAACACAGCAACATCATTTATTCAAACAAATGTTCCAAAGGCAAGTTACTGTTTGTGAACATGTTTGTCTTTCTGTTTGTGTTGCCAAGTTTACAGTTTATTTCCATCCCTTCAGAAACATATGCGTCAAAGTTAGCTGGGTCGTGGCTGCCATGTGACTGTCTGCTCTATTCACCTCGGCTCAACTTAAAGCTCCTTTAATTAATCCCACTGGGCCAACATATACTCTTCATCTGACCTATGGAAATGAGGAGGGAAGAGTGGGCTGACCACAAGGCGACGGGATTCGTAATGGCTCTCAGGTGGACCGACTACAGCTAAATGTGGGAGGTGGACTTAACACATAGAGCAATGCAAAACTTATGGAAAGAATTATTTTGTCCATTTGGTTTCAAACTTCATGGACATAGAATGGATGATATTTAGGATGTCAGTCAGGATAATGGTAAGGTAAACGAGATGCCAATGATAAAAGGTAAATTATGTCGTTTTGGATATTTCATGACACTTTGGTTAAAGCCAAATTCCTCATTATAACACATTCTGGAGCAGCACTTTTCCACTGAAGGTCAAAGCTGCCAGCACTATGGCGAACGCTGATTGGACAGTTTATTGGACTCTCTGTAAAGCTAATGTTTTTAAATTGCACCCTGTTTTTAACCATGTTTTTACAGTGTTCTTGGGTGTTTTGAAAGGCGCTTTTAAATAAAATGTATTATTATTATTATCCTATAATATCACATGCATTCTCTGAATCCTCTCGTCTCTACCATTGACAATAAAACATGTCTACTGTCTGTCTGACACAATCCCAGACGTTTGTCATAAGAATTGAAAACCGTGAGACAAATATGGAAAACCCCAAAAAATGTCACTATCATGTTTTCCATTAAGTTGGTCACAGACACAAAATATGAACCTATTAGGTGTTTAGAATAAAATAATGATTATTTTGACATAAAAACAAAACAAAAAAAACACACACACACACACACACACACACACACAAAAGCACCCCTCTCCCCATGTATGTAGGTTCATGGTGTAGTGTATGGACGCTAAAACCCTTATAATATTGATTTTTTTTTTTTTTTACAACGGGCACTTGTCATATGCCGTCCTGTCAGTCAACTACAATGGACTCTCATAATCTCATATTATAACAACCCTACATAAAAAATTGCCAAACACTGCGTTAGTTTTGTTGGCTAAACGGTGATCAGCCTGGCATAAATATTCCAATAACATTTCAACTTGATTTGCTCCGAGGGCTGCAGAAATGAAAGAATCTGGATGTTTTCATTGTGAGGACTCGGGAGCACAGACACAGTGCACAAATGGCGCAGCAGTCAGATAGCAGCTGTCCCCCGCTTTGCCAAACTAACAAGACGCCAAGTTGGCAGGTAATGGCGGCGACACGGGCAGGAGGAAGCAGACACTCTAAAGCGACGGAGACTTACTCGGCCGTGATCTGAGTAACAAGCGGCAGGGAGGTGAAGCCCGAGCCCAGGAAGGAGTCTCGATACTGGGTCATCTTGAGTGCTGCGAGCCAGTCCTCCACAGAGCTCACCCGGCTCAAGTCTGGTCCTCCGCGGTCCAGCAAAGGATGGATACAAGGCCTGTATAGAGAGATAGATGAGATAGATAGATAGATGACATAGATAGATGAGATAGATACTGTAGATAGATAGATAGATGAGACAAATAGATAGATACTGTAGATGAGATAGATAGATAAATGAGATAGATATAGATGAGATAGATAGATGGATGAGATAGATATACTGTAGATAGATGAAATAGATAGATGCGATAGATAGATAGACTTTATTGAACCACTTTACTGTGTGGAGAAGAGTGAAGGATGAAAGTACTGAACAGATCACATTAAATTCAGCTGAACAATGCCAAAACTAAAAGAACAAAAAAGACTTGAAATGGGGAGATAATGATTGCATATTATCTGAATGGGAGTATGTTTTTTTCACATTTGTATTTTAATGATGTGACAATCCAGCACACGGTCTCATGGCATGAACACAGCAATTCGCTCATTAAGGACCAAAAGTGACAAACTGGCTATATTTTCTCAATAATAATCTGATAAATCCCATCTGTCTAGACACACTTGCGTAATAAGAATATAGTATAATAATATAAGACTGGAAATTATCTGAACTTATTTCATTGAATGCTTTTAGATCCAGATTGAGAGCACTGAAATGTGACTGTTTTTATAATCATTGATTTTATGAAATTGTATGTAACTGTTTATCTGTAATTGTATGTAACTGTATGTAACCTTTGCTCAGGTCTCCCTTGATAAAGAGGTTCTTAATCTCAATGGGACTTTCCTGGTAAAAAAAAAGTTTAAATAAAATAAACATATATTAATAACAACAAATAATATATAATATAATAATGCACAACTATGTTCCAAACTCTTTTAATACACCGGAAAACTTGTGATAAAGTGACTTTTCCGAATAACTGGTGTTGCCTATACTATGCCACTCTGATGTCTGTCTGGAGTAAACTTACAACCACCAATCAGAGCGCTGCCTCACACAGAACATGAAGAGGCATGATGTCAACACCATCAAACCTTCTTCCAGCTTCATATGGTAGAGATATAGGTTAGTACTGTGATGGGAGACCTCTGGGAACACCAGGTGCCACAGTGGGGCGGCTGCGGCTATAAAGTGCCAAATTGTCATTATGTTCTTAGGCAAGACACATTACCCAGATTGAGTCTGGTGTGTGTGAATGGTTGGTTGTAGTCATAGAGGCCGATGGCGCACATTGGCTGCCTCGCTTCTGTCAGACTGACCAAGGGCAGTTGTGGCTACAATAGTTGTTTACCACCCCCTGTGTAGTCTTATTTCAATTGTTGCTTTATTTTGTAATTTCAAGGGAGACATTTCTTGCATCTTTTTGAAACATGATAATTTTGCTTTGTCCCATTGGCAAATCTTGTTTTAAGGCAGTGTGAATGTGCTCAAATGAAGATACTGTTTGCAAAATGTGAGCAATTTTTGACTTATTTTTCCATCACTTTTTGCAGTGTATGTGGTGTACTACATCCACCATAACTCAAATGCAATAAGGTTTTCAGAATACCTATAATAAAGCACGTATACAGTACATTTGAAGATGGGAGCCTCACATCACACGGTACATCAAATTGAGTTGTAAAAAGCAATAGTTGAAGTAAAAATTTTGAAACTAGATCTCCAAGCACAGTTAAAATGAAATAGAACACATTGCTATTGTACTCTTCAAAGAACAAAGAGGGAAATAAAAATGAGGCTGACACATGCAGTGCACAACCCTTCTTACCCTGGAGGGATATTGTTGATGCCTGTTTTGAGCGAGGCGGGATTGCGTATCATCTTGTCCAACATGCTGACGATATCGGGGAACTTTGGCCGTGCGTTCCTGTCCTTCTGCCAGCAGTCCAGCATCAGCTGGTGCAGCACCACGGGGCAGTCCATGGGCGCAGGCAGCCGGAAGTCCTGCTCTATGGCATTTATCACCTGCACACAGCGGGGGGCGTGGGCACACACATCAGAGAACTGGAACAGTGTGTGATGAATACACGGGATTCAGATTCATCCATAATACACAAACAAAAACATATACATAAGGGACATTACTTTTGAATGCGCTTGGAACGGCAGCAAGTCCTAAGTAGTTGATGTTTTGTGTTTTACAATTGTTATTTTCCATGCTTTTTTCTACCTGAGGTGTTGCTGCAGTACAGTGTTCATGGTTTTACACTGGTCCACCCCAGAGCGGAGAGAATTCATGGTTCGAACCAAGTGAATCGGGTGAAAATCCACTGGAAAAATGCTAATTTTTTGAAAAATGCTAACAAAGCATTCAGCATTTTTACTTTGGACCTGAGCAGAGAAAATGGTCCGAACTAAGCGGCGGCTCCACCTCTGCTGCTGTGACCTGAAGGACTGTTGCATTTTTTAATACTATTGTTATCTATTGTCAGACTTATTGTCACTACTTATTTGTTTTGTTTGTTTGGATGGATGTGTTTTTCCTACTGGGATCAATAATGTATCTATCTATCTATCTACATTTTCTATATGCTCCAATAATAGGGCCATGTATACAAACCATATTTGACTTCAGTTTAAACTGGACTTATTCTTGAATAAATAAATAAATACAATAGGCATGATTTTCAAGCTATTTATGACTAAGGTGTATTAGCAGATTATCCAACAAAAACATAGCATCACAAATTCATCAAAAGGGAAGCAGAAACAGCAATAGTTAAGCAGTTATATGTATTAGAGTTTGTACTGTTTCTATCTAAACCCAACAGGTCCATAATCCATAATGATAAGGGCTCAAAAGATTCTGGCAGCAAAAGTTGGATTGTAATTGTAAAGACTGTATTCACCCAGTAAGAGTTGCAGACTACATCCAGTCCCTATACATTTGTAAATCTATTCTATTAATGTATTCTACCTCGTAACCCTGAAATCCATTGTTGGACGAATAAGGCTGTCATTTTTATTACAACAAGGACATTTTTTGTGTAACAGTCTGCGGTGTAAAAGTATGGAATGATATGAAAGCATAAATATTGCAGAAGTATTCTCACACACACAAAAAAACATTTGTATTATTTTTGAAGCAGAAGAATTGTACTGTATATGAAAGCAATATAACAATGACAGTTAATATCAATATTGTTTAAATAAAAGGCCAGCGGTTAAAGAATTATTTATTTCCTTCCTCCTGCTCCTTTTTTTTTTAGTTTTTTTTTCTTTGAGTTTCACAGCCAGCAATAATACATGATATTCATAAAAACCAGCCATATTGTTGTTTTTAATCACGCGTAATAGAAAAGCAAAAACAAAATACTTCAGTAGGAAGTTAAATTATACATTAAACAAAGCCCCATTCTGTCTTTTTGCCGTCCCAAAATAGATGAAAGAAGGAAGAAATACGACGCAGAGTCCATCTGTTTGGCTCCTAATGAGGAAGTTGAGAGATTTTCCATCAAATAGTTACTCAATTCCAACACGCTCCTCTCCTCTTTAAAACTGGCCTTGGATTCAGACGCAAAACAGGTGAAACCCATGCTTTTATTTAGAAACATTGAAAGAGAAAGAAGTGTTAGTTTTAAAAAGGCATTAAGAGTGTGCAGCAGAGTCTGTGTCTGATGTCGGAGCCTGCTGGTCTTCCACTGATCCATTCACCAAGGCTTTTGATTTCATTATGTTTGTGCAGGTGTATCGGGTTCAATCAACACTGTCTGTAAGATTCTCACCCTTTTAGCTCAGCACAGCCTGTGATGCAAAAGTTCGACATTTTCTTATAATGTCTTACAGTGCTAGACCTTGTATGACCCTATAATGCATATACTGTGTGTTTTGGCCTCCGTTAGTGTGCGTAGTTACACTGCAATAAGTCAAAAATTGCAAAACATTGGAAAAATGTATCTCTCTGGTCTCTCTTTCTGGGCTCTCTCTCTGGTCTCTCTCTCTGGTCTCTCTTTCTGGGCTCTCTCTCTAGTCTCTCTCTCTGGTCTCTCTCTGGTCTCTCTCTCTCTGGTCTCTCTCTGGTCTCTCTCTGGTCTCTCTCTCTGGTCTCTCTCTCTGGGCTCTCTCTCTGGTCTCTCTCTCTGGTCTCTCTCCGGTCTCTCCCTCTGGTCTCTTTCTGGTCTCTCTCTCTGGTCTCTCTCTCTGGTCTCTCTCTCTGGTCTCTCTCTCTGGTCTCTCTCTGGTCTCTCTCTCTCTGGTCTCTCTCTGGTCTCTCTCTGGTCTCTCTCTCTGGTCTCTCTCTCTGGGCTCTCTCTCTGGTCTCTCTCTCTGGTCTCTCTCCGGTCTCTCCCTCTGGTCTCTTTCTGGTCTCTCTCTCTGGTCTCTCTCTCTGGTCTCTCTCTCTGGTCTCTCTCTCTCTCTCTCTGGTCTCTCTCTCTGGTCTCTCTCTCTGGTCTTTCTCTTTGGTCTCTCTCTCTGGTCTTTCTCTTTGGTCTCTCTCTCTGGTGTCTCTCTGGTGTCTCTCTCTGGTGTCTCTCTCTCTGGTCTCTCTCTCTGGTCTCTCTCTCTGGTCTCTCTCTCTGGTCTCTTTCTCTGGTCTCTCTCTGGTCTCTCTCTCTGGTCTCTCTTTGGTTTCTCTCTGGTCTCTCTTTGGTCTCTCTCTCTGGTCTCTCTCTGGTCTCTCTCTCTGGTCTCTCTCTCTGGTCTCTCTCTCTGGTCTCTCCCTCTGGTCTCTCTCTCTGGTCTCTCTCTATGGTCTCTCTCTATGGTCTCTCTCTGGTCTCTCTCTGGTCTCTCTCTGGTCTCTCTCTGGTTTCTCTCTGGTGTCTCTCTGGTGTCTCTCTCTGGTCTCTCTTTGGTCTCTCTCTCTGGTCTCTCTCTCTGGTCTCTCTCTAGTCTCTCTCTCTGGTCTCTCTCTCTGGTCTCTTTCTCTGGTCTCTCTCTCTCTGGTCTCTCTCTGGTCTCTCTCTGGTCTCTCTCTGGTCTCTCTCTCTGGTCTCTCTCTCTGGTCTCTCTCTCTGGTCTCTCTCCGGTCTCTCCCTCTGGTCTCTCTCTGGTCTCTCTCTGGTCTCTCTCTATGGTCTCTCTCTGGTCTCTCTCTGGTCTCTCTCTGGTCTCTCTCTCTGGTTTCTCTCTGGTGTCTCTCTCTGGTCTCTCTCTCTGGTTTCTCTCTGGTGTCTCTCTCTGGTCTCTCTCTGGTCTCTCTCTATGGTCTCTCTCTGGTCTCTCTCTGGTCTCTCTCTGGTGTCTCTCTGGTGTCTCTCTCTGGTCTCTCTCTGGTCTCTTTGGTCTCTCTCTCTGGTCTCTCTCTGGTCTCTCTCTGGTCTCTCTCTGGTCTCTCTCTCTGGTGTCTCTCTCTGGTCTCTCTCTCTGGTCTCTCTCTGGTCTCTCTCTGGTCTCTCTCTGGTCTCTCTCTGGTTTCTCTCTCTGGTCTCTCTCTGGTCTCTTTGGTCTCTCTCTCTGGTCTCTCTCTGGTCTCTCTCTGGTCTCTCTCTGGTTTCTCTCTGGTGTCTCTCTGGTGTCTCTCTCTGGTCTCTTTGGTCTCTCTCTCTGGTCTCTCTCTGGTCTCTCTCTCTGGTCTCTCTCTCTGGTCTCTCTCTCTGGTCTCTCTCTCTGGTCTCTCTCTGGTCTCTCTCTGGTTTCTCTCTGGTGTCTCTCTGGTGTCTCTCTCTGGTCTCTCTCTGGTCTCTTTGGTCTCTCTCTCTGGTCTCTCTCTGGCCTCTCTCTCTGGTCTCTCTCTCTGGTCTCTCTCTCTGGTCTCTCTCTCTGGTCTCTCTCCGGTCTCTCCCTCTGGTCTCTCTCTGGTCTCTCTCTGGTCTCTCTCTATGGTCTCTCTCTGGTCTCTCTCTGGTCTCTCTCTGGTCTCTCTCTCTGGTTTCTCTCTGGTGTCTCTCTCTCTGGTTTCTCTCTGGTGTCTCTCTCTGGTCTCTCTCTGGTCTCTCTCTATGGTCTCTCTCTGGTCTCTCTCTGGTCTCTCTCTGGTGTCTCTCTGGTGTCTCTCTCTGGTCTCTCTCTGGTCTCTTTGGTCTCTCTCTCTGGTCTCTCTCTGGTCTCTCTCTGGTCTCTCTCTGGTCTCTCTCTCTGGTGTCTCTCTCTGGTCTCTCGCTATGGTCTCTCTCTGGTCTCTCTCTGGTGTCTCTCTGGTGTCTCTCTGGTGTCTCTCTCTGGTCTCTCTCTGGTCTCTTTGGTCTCTCTCTCTGGTCTCTCTCTGGTCTCTCTCTGGTCTCTCTCTGGTTTCTCTCTGGTGTCTCTCTGGTGTCTCTCTCTGGTCTCTTTGGTCTCTCTCTCTGGTCTCTCTCTGGTCTCTCTCTCTGGTCTCTCTCTCTGGTCTCTCTCTCTGGTCTCTCTCTGGTCTCTCTCTGGTTTCTCTCTGGTGTCTCTCTGGTGTCTCTCTCTGGTCTCTCTCTGGTCTCTTTGGTCTCTCTCTCTGGCCTCTCTCTCTGGTCTCTCTCTCTGGTCTCTCTCTCTGGTCTCTCTCTCTGGTCTCTCTCTCTGGTCTCTCTCTCTGGTCTCTCTCTCTGGTCTCTCTCTCTGGTCTCTCTCTCTGGTCTCTCTCTGGTCTCTCTCTCTGGTCTCTCTCTCTGGTCTCTCTCTCTGGTCTCTCTCTCTGGTCTCTCTCTCTGGTTTCTCTCTCTGGTTTCTCTCTCTGGTTTCTCTCTCTGGTTTCTCTCTGGTCTCTCTCTGGTTTCTCTCTGGTCTCTCTCTGGTTTCTCTCTGGTCTCTCTCTGGTCTCTCTCTCTGGTTTCTCTCTGGTCTCTCTCTGGTCTCTCTCTCTGGTTTCTCTCTGGTCTCTCTCTGGTCTCTCTCTCTGGTCTCGCTCTGGTCTCGCTCTGGTCTTTTGACAGCCTTAAAACAATATTTGCCAACGGGACAAAGCAAATTAATGTTTTAAAAAGAAACAGTAAAAGTCTTCATTGGAATGTGAACAAATATGCATCAATTCAGTAAAAAGATTAAATGGCTTTGTCCACACATATTAGAGTGTGGGTAAATGATGTCGCAAGAAGAAAAAAAAATCCCAATTAACTCATGTTTTGACTATGAATCAAAAATAACCAACAGATATA